TTCGACTTAAAAATAAAAGCCTTTCTGCTGCTTCGAAATGCAGTTAAAGTCAATAAGAAAATTGTTTAGGTTTTAACTCACAAATTAAAGTTCACGAAGTTGATTTAACAAGAAGAGATATGCCGTCTAAACATTGTTTTTTAATGTCTGTTAGCGCATTAATCTTGGATTGAGTTTTAACTTAATACTGTAATGTAAACCAAATAATCATTTCACAATATGCAAAAAAGAAAACTGCCTTCACCTAATTAAAGAACACACATTTCTGTATTATTTTCACTCACGTTATCAAGTTAAAGTAGCTATGTATTTTACTTTAGAATAATTAACATTCTTGTTTCAATTTGATGAGAACAAAAATTATGATTTGCTTATGAATTTAATAAAAATCACAAATTCTGCTCAAAAACTTTTAGCAGAGAGTTATAACTTATTAAAATGAACATTTGCCTTAGTAACACAGCAGAGTCAGATCAATGTAACACACGTCCATCTCAGGATACAAAAACATGCCTCTAAGCATTCTGGGAAATAATTACCATTCCTGTGTTTTTGTTCTTTCAGTGTTTTTAGGGCTAACCTATAAACTCAGTTGTTTTTTTTTTCAATTCTTTTAGGATAGACAAAATTAATAAAATGCTAACAGACTTACTACTGTAAGTTTATCTTTCACAAAAGTTATCCAGAACTACCCTTATATAGCCTATAAGGCCCATATTTTTGGGCCTTATAAAGCACATAAATATGGGCTTTATAAGGGTTAAGCTGACACATGCAAAAATAAAAAATAACTGAAGAGAGATACATTTGTAAAAATGTACATGAAAGTTCAAATGCATACGAATTAAATGTGTAATTGTTTCAATAAATATTAATGCAATTGAAGTATATATATTATTATAAGTAATATTTCAATAAATATTTAAATGTATTTAATACATGGGTAAATATCTCTTTACAGTGCCATTCATTTTAAAGACAGAACAGTTACCCGTAGAATTTGGAGGGTCTTGCTGGCAGATAAAATAAATTCAGGATCTGCTGCAAAGACAGGACTTTAATCTGAATTGAATAGAAGTAAGACTTAATGGTTAAATATTGTTTAAGAACTTTGTGATTATTACATACCCATGTATTAAATATAGTTTAACATTTATTGAACCAATTATTTATTTAATTCATACATACATTTGAACTTTTATGTACATTTTTACAGATGCATTTCTGTTCAGTTATTTTTTATTTTAACTCTGCTTCAAACCTCACCACTTTTTTTTTCTTTTTTTTTTTTGCTTTGGTCTTCATAAAGCTGTTTACCTTAACTGTGAATTTAACTGAGAATAAAAGTGAATTTTATTGATTTAAATAAAAAATACCTTTATTTTAGGTGACCCATGAAGATCAGAATTTCAATATAAATGCACAACACAGTTTTCATATGTTGCTTCCACTTCAGAATTATCCACTGTGTTGGTCTACCACATAACGGTCCAATAAACATACACTGTTGACTGGAACATGTAATTGTAACATGTAAAAAAAAAAATCCTCTAACTATTAGTTTAATTAAGAATTCAACTAGTACAGTGTTCACAGTCCAGTTTAAATACTCTACCTAGCAGAGGTGTGATAACTGCTGGAGATGTCATTTTTGCATTCACTGCTGGCACTCCAGTCCAAAACAGCATATGGAAGCTTAAATTAAGAAAAGTCGCATTATTGCTAATCCCTCAAATCAGATGTGCAGCTGTTTATTTATGCATCTTTAATTACTTTTTGGAGGGCATCGTTTTGAAGAGGGTTAGAGCAGAGAATACAGCTGTCTCCGGGGCTCAGGTAAGTCTTCACATCAATCACATCAGCTCCTTTTCTCTCCAGTGTGACTATATCAAAACTTTGCCCCACCAGATTGTGTCCTGGTACAAAAGGAGCAGCATCACACTCTCTTTGGGTCCCAATCCGACAGGACAGAACAGAGGAGTGATCTAGGAGGACGCTTAGGAGAAGAAGAGCTGAAGTTGAATCGGGCAGCATCGCTGTAGTCAGAAGGAAAAAGTCAGAAAATAAAGGAATTAAACTGTTTTTTTACATAGTACATGGCATTTTCCTTATTTTTATGACTTATTTTTACATCATCATATAAGAAAGTTAGTTAACACTGTATTTGAAGGGGTGTGCATAAGAGTGACATGACATGACTGGCTTTCATGAATATTTATGACTGGTTATGTCATAAACATGGGCTTTATAAGGGTTATGGTAACACATGCAAAAATAAAAAAATGACTGATCAAAGATGCATATGTAAAAATGTACATAAAAGTTCAAATGCATGTATGAATTAAATCTGTAATTGTTTGAATAAATATTTAAATGCAGCAGTTAATGATGGTGAAACATTAGTAAAGAGTTCTAGATAACACACAAAGTTTCAGCCAGTAGATATTTGTGAAGAAAACAATGAAGCTCATTCATTAATCTGATTTTATTCCCATTTTATTATTCTATATATTCCTTTTGTCTTATCAGTAGTTCGGTTACATGCCAGTAGAAATAAGTTATTCACAGAATAATTCAGCTGTAAAGTTGGGCTATTTAGTTAATAAATTCTGAGACTCGATTAGAAATAAGCATGTCGGTGATCATTCCTTGTGTGAAACGTTTCTTCATTCCTTCATTAGAGACTGAGCTTGACTTTATTAATTAATAATAAATTATGGATTACAATTTGTAGTAATTAAATAAGCCAAACGTCGAAGCGAGTTCTGATTTCCAATAATTTTGATATCACCTTGTGAGGTTGCTACAACATTTTTGGTTTCCAGAATTCTGATTCCCAGCAATGAACAATCAACAAATTCAGCTTTGGAGACCAAGAGAGCTTTGATTTCAACAAACAGCCACAAACCTCCACCACATTAATACCAGTGAAATTATAAATTCTAGGGGTGCACTGACTTATCACCCATCCAATTTATCTGTGTCAATTTCCCTAATTTTAGGAAATCGGTAATCAGGCGATTTTTACATGTGAAGCCAATCTTATCCACCATTTTTATCTACCTTGGCAAAGGTATTTAAATCAACTGCTACCTTCTGCTCTGCTGTGAGAGGGGTTTGACTAGCAGACCGGCCCAGCAGATCATGTCTAAATGTTTTTAGTTAACAATAGTCACCCCACTGTTGGTAACTCATCAACTTTCTTCCTATGTTTAGCAAGATTTCAGACAAAAATATTTATATAGGCCAAAATCAAAATTGTCAGGTCAGGATTTTTAATGGATTTGTTATCAGGGATCAGCCAGAAATCTGCAATAAATTCATGAGAAAAATATCTTCTATAAACAATTTTTAATAACTCAATAAACAGTATTTTTAATTGCTGCAGTGTACTATAAACAAATATACTATTTGCATATTAAAAAGTCTTACCTGTTCCAAAGCAGACTGAAAAGAAGTTGAAATAAGCAATGTTTCTAAATGTGCTGAGCTGAGAACTGTGGTTTATAAAGCAGCAGCCCTGGAGAGATAAGGATTCATACAGAACATTGTGTAAAGGTCAATTGAATGTAGTTACTTTGTTTCTTGTAACTACTGGTAAAGTTTGAGGTATTTATTTTTGCACTGTTCTTTATAAGGTATCTACACTACCAGAACAAACTGTTCTACCAGAACTTCTTGTTCCGGTAGGACAAAAAGTTTTACCAGAACTGCAGTGAAGGAATTGTTTAACAGCAAGGCAGAAAAACGCATAAAAAGCAACTCTAAAATTAGGTTCTTTCAATATGGGAACAAGATAACGACTAAGATTTATTTAAGTATTTTAATTATGTGATTGTGTTGAACTCAAAACAAACAGGAGTTCTTCTTTAGCTTTGGCAACTATACAGCAAATTTGGAAGTGTTCCATCAACTCCTACAGATTTAAATTCAACACTTTGAAAGTGTCTATATTGGTCCGCTCTGGATGGCGTAGAAGTTACACTTTTGAAAGTGTTATTTGTGATAGAGTTGAATCAACACTCACAGTAGCTGAAATCAAATATATTCAGTATAAACTACCCAACAACTAGTGTACATTGTCAAAAGTTAACACTATGAAAGTGTTAAACACAGAATGGTGTAAAGTA